GACCCAGACTCTTGTACACCTAAGCTTCTTCTCTGGTTCTTCGACAGCAGAGGTGGTTTCGAGAAGCAGGCGAAGGATTCAGACGGTAACAAAATCGGGCGGCCGAACTGGGTTGACCACAAAGTAGTTGAATGGTACACGATTACGAACCGTCAGATGGTCAACAGATACAGGAGGATTATCCCGTCCTTGGGCTTCGTCCACATTCCGACATATGCATCATTTGCCCTGCAGAAGGCCGGAGTCGATCCAAATGAGCAGCCTGGTATCAATGACGACTCGCCAGTTGCCCCGCAGGCTCAAGGGTGGTGTCCAGATGGACGATCAGACGGATCATGCTCATACGGCGAGCAAGACACTGCATTCATGAAGGCAATCTCCCACACCCCAGGTATGATGGCACTCTTTTCTGGTCACGACCATGGAGATACGTGGTGCTATAAGTGGGATAGGAAATTGCCAAACATCACTGTCACACCCTCGAACAACGTCACCCTCTGCTTCGGCCAACATTCGGGGTACGGAGGATATGGCCAATGGGAAAGGGGCTCGCGGCAGATCTTGGTATCGGAGAAGAACCTCGAAAAGCAGGAGATTGACACTTGGATTCGACTCGAGTCAGGTAATGTCGTAGGTAACGTGTCCCTGAATAGAACTTATGGACAGGACAAATACCCTAAGACAAAGAACACAAAGACGTTTTGCCCGACGTGTTCGGAGTCAAAGATAGATGAAGCCTAGTATGAAGAGAGAATAACATTAGCTCAGCTCATGCGCGTGGCTCAGGTATCTTCCTAAAGGTCGACTTTGCAAATAAAACATGCCAAAGCGATCGTGTGACCTAGCGCTATTGTATTACCCTTACGTGCATAATGGCGGACGAGGTGAAAGATCCGAACTGCCCTGATGATCACGTACATTACGGTACAACAACTTGAGAACCCAAAACAGGAGCTAAGGGATAAGAATAACAGAGGTCGGGAACGAGAGACTTCAAACTAGGAATGCCATGCTCGGACCCAAACTAGGTCCTTCAGGTTCGAGATCAAGCAAGCCGGCAAGACGAACGTAAACAGACTATCTGAGGATTTACAGAGTCAACCGGAATCCAAATCCGAATCCGATACAGCCCTGCATTTTCGAGTCTTACGAGATACGAAATGGCGAAAGACGGCGACGCATGGATACTGTTTCTGGAAGTAGACTGGACTGAGAGTCGAGATGACATATGCCCCCTCGCGGATCTCAAGCCGGAATGTCATTTGCCAAGTTGGCATGGAGATATGTACGCACTGCTGATAAAATGTAGGACTTCGGACGATTGACTAGGGGGTTTCAAGTTTGGAACACCAGCCGTTGTTAAGAACGTAAAGTCCACCCCGCAAAGAGATCCGCCCCGAGAGGGACTTGAGCTCGCGATGGAAACGTGGGGTTTAGCGAGAAGAGCGTTGGGGCGACACGAACTTGAGTAATCTGGTTATGTTACCCTAGTGTCGTGGAATGGCCTATTGGGCAGAATCTTGTCACAGTATCAGCCATGCAAGGGTTAAGCATGCCGATCATGTCATGTTCACTTGCTCAGCCGAAGCTGACCTAGAGAAGACTCATTTAGCGAGATTTTGTGCTCAGTGATGCTTTCCAGTCTATCACGAGCGATTTTCCACGTTCCGGCTTTCCTGAATGTTTGCAAGTACGTTGCAATAGCGATCGTAGATCCTCCGGTTTCACTCGACACCGCCCCCACGGCAAATGCATGCCTCGGATGTTACAGACGAACGGCATCGGGAATGCAATCACGGCATTTTGTCATATCACATTCCGAACAAAGCGAGAACATCGGATCACTCGGTGTGCTTGCCCATCCCGCGAATGAGTGAAGATGGGCTAAGGATAGAAATAAACATATCTACTCTGGATCCCGGTGTTTCATGAGACATCAAGATGAGATCCTGTCGTGGGACCATATGCCAAAACACGTTCCACGATCGGCTGATCCCAGCTTCCTGGGTGGTGCAACAGTGGACACCGGCTTCGGAACGTTTGCAGTCGGCAGAGTTCCCCTAAGCCCTATCGTTTATGGGGAGACAGCATTCTTGAACTCCTGACTCACGTCATAGAAATTTTCTAAATATAGCAAGCGATTCTCTTTGTTGGATTTGCCTCCCCGTACAACTGCGAGACGGCAGCACGTGTTATGTATTGCTCATACCTGTACTGCATTCCAGACATCCTCACTTGTCGTGGTACTCAGTAGCACACTCTCGTAGGCAGACTGGACCGAAGAATGCGCGACCACAAGCTGGACTTTCGTATGACGGCAACCGGTATCTTGGGGCTTTCCACGACAGCGAAACATTCCCGCGTATCTTAGTTCGATATCCCGTAGTTGCCAGGTAGGGTGAAGGGTGATTAAGTCACACCGGAAATGGGAATGCCAATTATAGCCGTGCCACGATGGGGAACGTCACGAAAGATTCCAGCCTTTGGAAGCGTTGGCTTGCGCGTTCACATTGACATAATACCCAATATGGAACCAACAATAAGCATTGGGGTCAAAAACATTGGCCACCAAGCACCTTATGGAATGTAAGACCAGCATTCTTGTTTACATGACGACTGCCTATGAAACGGTGCACTCGTGATAAATCCCGCCTGGCTTAAATTGCCCGGTCAGGCGGCACAGTAGTGAACAGAGTCCGGCACCCTGGAATGAGAGGGGCGTACAAGTTCATCACACATGAACGAGCATTAACGAGCATTGGTGGTCATTATCTAAAATGGCATTCCAAGGCTTCCACGGTGAGGGACAATATGTCGTCACATTCTTACATGCATACCCAGAAGGAACGAACATCGCCCAAGAAGAATAACCATGCGTTAAGCGACTCCATCTCTCATTTATAAACCCATGCGCTGCTCTCGTCCAGAATCCATCAGCCGTTGATCAAACTCAATAACAAGACTCCACAAACAAGTCCTCGATATCACTACACAAAACCTTCAGTCTCAAGATGGCAGATACCACTCCCAGACCCGAACTCACCAAAGACCCCCTTCCTAATGAAGTCACCTTTGGCTTGGGATGGGATGCCCCTAAGTCCGACAAGACGACCGATGATACCCCCAAGCTTGACCTAGACTTGTGGGCAATCATCAATCAGGACGGCAAGCCTCACGAAGATGTGTGCTTTTACGGCACAGAAAAGGATGGCAAATACTTCAGCAAATGCCAATCTATCCAGCTCACGAACGACAACCGAACGGGTGACGGGGACGGGGACGACGAGCAGCTTTTGATACAGCTGAACAAACTGCCAGCCGCGACCACGTCTGTCGACATCTTGGTTGTGGTGCACGACGAGAAGGACAAGGCTCACAACTTGAGCCAAGCTGAAGGCGCAGTATGTCGGCTCATCGAAGGAATCAATGGCAGCGGAGGGAAAGCAATCGACAAGTTCGAATTGCCTTTCGAAGGTGTCAATAACAAGTCTGTGAAAGTCATGACCTTGCGCCGCGAGAAGGGAGGTTGGTATCACAGACGTGACGCCACTACTATGAAGAAGAGTACCGAGGAGTTGTTAGCCGAGTATAAGTTCGACAAGTCGCAATACAAACTGCAAAAGAGCGGATAGGCTTGAAGGGGGACAGCGGCGATGGTACCCGTCTATTGACTTCACGATCGTGCTTCGATTGAGCTACACTCAGTCTTTACCGCCAATCAGTAGCTCTACAGATACTATCATTCAAACTCCGTCACTCGCTACTGAATAAACACAGACACTCGTTTATCTAAGAGGAAAAGCATGAATTGTGACCGTGTAGTAATTGCAGTCGTGATGACTTTTCATGAGAGCCGCAACAGAGAGAGCGTTCAGTAAATACCTGTCACCCTGCTCATACCGCCAGAGAATGGTGGTTCAAGGCTTGTTTCGTCAAGTTGCCAACATGTTAGTTGCGTTGACATCAGTCAAGGTACAATCACCTGCGGAACTGTGAGGACAGAAACTTAGTGATAGGCTGCGAGATGTATACAACAGCAACTGTCCAGCAATGTTCGTTCGTGTGAAGAACTAGATATATTTCCCCTAGCCAAGCGAAAGCTCCTTGACGTGGGGACATCACAATCAGATACTAGAATTGTTCACTAATACAGTTGCAACAGTGAATCTGCCACCAGCTCATGGCTTGACTGCCCTTCCGATCTCCAGGGAGTACACAAGTCAGTGTGCCCGACGGCGAGCGCAGTAACAAGCCCGCTAAAGCTAATGGCGTTCTGGGGGCACTTTTTCAAATCTGCTGATGAAGGAGCGCCTAAATCTACTGACATTCCGCGCAGGTTACGCCCGGCTATAGGCACCGATGCCCATCAATCTAGGGTCGGAAGCGGCGAGCGATGCCACAGCGTGCATTCAATGTAGTTTGTTCGGTTATCGGGCTGGCGACAATTTTGCAACCTCACAACCGACCTCTTGGTTACACGTTTCTCCTCCGCTGTGCTAATGCTTAATTCCTGATTTCGGTGCGAGATGCGAGGAATATGAACACCGACGCTGAAAAGATCAAAGATAGCGACGTAAGTAATTTTGGCTTAGGCGAGCATTCGCTTCCGTCGCAAACTTCAGGCAGATGGCTATAGCTCAACTCCCGAGGATGCGGCCGTGGTCTTTTCATATACCCAGCTCGTATACAACTGGAACCGTCGGCTGCGTCGTGTACGTCTGTCGTTCTTATATGAGGGACGAAGCTCATGGTGGCATGTTTAGTAGCCCATCAAGATAGTTCCGCGGCGCCGACCGGAAATCAGTCTCAACCGATTGCTGCTGAATGATTTGTAGTCAAGAAGGGGACCAAAATAAGAAGTAGCGAGTATACATACACTGCGTGCATGCACTAAGGATGGGATGAAAGTCAAAAGAAAGGATGCATACAGCAAACAAGCAAGCAAGTGGTCGGAAATTTTAAAAAAGGGATACTAGTTGAGGGAAACAACCGAAAAAAGATGCCTCCACGCGGAATCGAACCGCGGATCTTGTCATTGCATTCGCAACTGGAAAGTTTACGAGTGACACGCATTACCCCTGTGCCATAGAGGCAATTGATGAATAATTGGTGGCTTATTATACACTATAGCCCGGATATCATAGTGGGGCCCGTGCTTCTAGACATCGGTCGCATCGCATCTCACAAGGGGTAACAGCACTACGTGCGGCCACAAGCTACCCTACAATGGCATACTTCATATTGCTACTTCTCCGAATATAGGTCAGACATGATGACCGTCGCGTTGTTTTGGACCTTTCATGTTGATTACGATATAATCAGGGTGCTCGGCTGTGAATGGCCGGTGTGCTCCAGAGAGCTACGGCGCAGTTTTGTGCCTATAGCCGATGAACAGCCTGTAGTTCTGCAACATTGCACTTTGCAAAGACTTTACGAGTAGACTACATCACTTCAAAACTGTGACATTTATACACATCATTTGGTTGGAATATGATGAAGTGGACGTAATGGATCATCTTCAGGAAGATGCCTGTCTCATTTTACCCACCATATCTTCTCTGTACCTACGTACGGCAGTTATGACGCTAATCTTCTTACATGCCCGCGGCATCTTCGATCGGCGCGCTGCACTCAATACGTAGAAGGAATAACAGACAACCTTCCACCGTCAATCGCGAATACCAACCCATCACAATACGCGCCAGCTTTACTGGCAAGATACAATATCGAGCCGGCCAACTCATCCCCGACGCCGAACCGCCTTGCCGGCATGAAGGCTGGGTGGTCGATGCCCTCAGTCTCTGGGTCACGGCTGGCCATCACGGGAGCTGCCATCTCAGACGGGTAATCTAGGAGGCGTAATTGAAGTTATTATGCGATCGAGAGAAATTGCGACTGGAGGTTGGCATGCAGGTAGGAGTACCCAGTGGTTTAGGACAGCATTACTCACATCCAGGAGCCAAGGTATTGACGCGAATCTGATACGGAGCCAAGTTCGTCGCCGCATGCTGCGCAACTTGTAGGATTCCCGCCTTGGCCGCTGCGTACGCAGGCGGTGTACCGGCATACCTAGAATATGCGCCCAGATTACTCGTCACCACGACTTGACTCTGTATCGACGGCATCTTGCCACCTTCGAACGGCTTCCCATAGCCACCCTTCACGGCATTTTTGTTCCCCGCATCAAGCAGCTCAAGAAACGCAGCAATGGTGAAATAAGCACCTGTGATGTTGACGTGTAGACAATGTGTCATCTCGTCCATACTTACGTCGTCGAAGAGGTTCTTGCGTAGGTCTTGGATGCTTAGCTTGGAGTCGTATGTGTTGCCCGGCCCAAAGACTCCCGAGTTCGCAATCAGCAGATTGATGTAACCGATCTCCTTGGTTATTGTGTCGACGACGCTTTGCAGTGAGTCCTTGGAGGTTACGTCGCAGACGATTGGGCTGATGCTGGGGTGTGCGGATGCGGCTTTTTCCAGCACTGCTCTCCGGCGGCCGAGAATGTAGACCTTCTTTGCGCCCGATCCAGCCAGTGCCTTCGCCATTATGAACCCGATGCCTGAGATGTATTAATACCGGTGACGAGGGTTCTGTTCCAATGGTGAGTTAGACGCACCAGTGCCACCACCACTGATCACGGCGACTATGCCATCGACTCTGAAGAGAGACGATGCATCCATTCTGAGATGACTGTCACAGTTGTTCGAAGGTCGGGTAGTGGAAAAATTGGATCTCCATGAAGCCTGATCATAGCTCTTTGCCTCGCTCGAGGCTATTACATCTCTTATGTATGCTCGACTTAATTTTCCAAATGTGCGGTGATACATATTATCTCCGGGACTCTATACACAAGCTATCCCGTCGTTTGAACTTTCATACACTCTGCTGCATACTGGGGATATACAGTTCATCGCACGTAGAATATCCCCATGCTTGTCGCAATTCAGCAGAGAGGAATAATGTGAAGGTATTGCGCAATACAGCGCAATACAGCTGCTGTGTTCCGCCGCATTGGCGAAAAGACATTGCTTTACAACATGATTACAGCGCTACCCCGAATGCAGTTGCTCCCAGTGGAGAAATAAAACATGGCACTATAACATTGTATGACATTACAACTGCTGGTGCCAAGTTAGCGATGCTTAAGAATTGTTGGCAGCGTGCACGGCTAACGTTTGTGAAGACACGGCCTCACTGCGGATTTAATCGTAACTCCACGAAACCCTCTCTCTACGATACTGGCATGACAGCGTCGATATACGGTACTTAAGATTCTGGGGAAAATACTACCATGTCTCTACATAGAAACATTACACCCTGCTCTGTTAGGCACTGGAGAAGTTGAATTTATCGGTACTGATAGAGTCCCGGTGATATACTCGCTGCAATCGTTAGGATGGGCTAGGAAGCCTGTTGCGGCTTCCTCGCCAGACCTACAAGCTACGGCGTGTCTCCATAGGACTGGGTAAAGAATGCCTTGTTGCCAAGCGAGTTGGGTCACAGTATTAAATCTTCATCTCCGTCGTATACGGCGAAAGGTATAATGGAATGTGCTGATGAACATAAAACAGCAAAGGGTATTAATAGTAGGCGTCGACGCCCGTCTTAGTAACGCAATCATTCATGTTGGAGTATTTTCGAAGTTTGTTGACTCCTTGTGCGCGGTCTTGATCTATGGTAGCAGAACAAGGATGATCTTCGTTGCGAAAAACGGATACTATGGTGAGAAGATGCTTTCATGCCGACAACGCCTCAACAATGCGCACCGACGCCTACTAAGACATGCTTGAAATCAACACCATGCCTCCCATGACACCCTCAGACCTAGCATGCCGTCACCCACTCAACTTTCCAGACATGACATTCGCACAGATCCCATCACCTCACAATCCTAACACTCTTCCCAACCTCGCCCCTCTCAACAGCTAGCAGGCGCGGAAGCACAACGTCCCACACTTTGTCCGAAAGCTCCTCGACCCCCAGATCAGCATCCACAATCTGGATATCTTCCTCTTCCTGTCTGAACTCTCCTTCCTCTTCATTCTCAGCCCCGAGACCAGTTCTCTCTCGGTCCCTCGCACTACTGCTATTCGCTCCATTCCCAAACGACGTCCTCTCACTTCGTGATGACGAGGGGGGCTTGCTGGACTTAACAGCCGTTCCCAAATCCCCCATACTCAGACCCCAGAACAGTTCGCGCACGCGTCTCTGCATCTCGCCTTTCTCGTAGATCTCTCCTCCCCAGCCGCCGCGCGAGCGAGCAACCGACTCGTCGAGATCTAGGAAGAGGACTATGTCTGGACGTGGTAATCCGACTTCGGGGGCCTTTGCCCATGACAGACTGAGAGAGGGGAGCTGCTTGGCGGCGCTGTAGACGATGCCGCTGTGGTAGTACCGGTCGCAGATGACGATGTGGCCTGCTGCCAGCTCTGCTTTTATTGTTTCACTGTGCATGTCAGACTTCGAGATTTAGAGGACGATTTCGGAGGGTAAGTGCAGAGAATACGTACGCCGCTTCCCAACGGTTCGCAGTAAACAAGAGATGGATGACGTGGTCCTCGACACCGGATTCGCCTTTCAGGTATGAGTCGATCATCCTGCCAATGACCGTTGTCCTGTCTGATCGTAATCGTCAATACCCAGCCCATTTGTAGAGTAATTAGAGATCTGACACAACCGTGCTCGCTGCGCCTTAAGCCTGCATAAATGAAGCTGACTTACCAGGAAATCGCATGAACTTGACTTCCCTCCCGCTTTCAATGCAACGCAATTGCAACAACTTGGCTTGTGTAGTCTTGCCTGCACGATCCATTCCTTCAAAGATAACCAATGCGCCTCTTACGGGAGGTCCCTTCGCGCCATCTTTCTCATCCTCATACTCGACACCATCCATTCCGTCTCCACCCCCAGATGCCCTCCCGGGCGAGACTCTGGCCGGGATAGTAGCCTGCGCCGGAGTTGGAGGCGAAATCTGCGGTCCCGCTAGAACAGGCTCCGCGGCCGGCGCCGGTGATTGCGTCGCCGTCCTCTCCTCACCAGCCTTGACATGAATACTCCTGGCCTCTGACCCAGGGCTCGCAGGGCCTTCCGACAGCGTTCTATTCGCAGGCTGATTCTGCTGTTCATGCACCTCTCTAGCCTGCTCCTCTAGCTGTGCAGAAGGCGATGGCGCCCCAGGCGTGTTCGGGTCCAACACCGACGACTCGGGAGATGAGTGGTTCATGGCCGCAGTAGTCGACGCGATCGTCGCGGCCGTTGCAAGATCATTAATAGATGCCATACTCTATCTCGCGCGCCCGTGTTCCCGCCTCTTTCTTATGCAAATGCGCGCCCTGGTCTCGGGTCTCACGTGATAGCTAATCACCTGCTGTTCCAGATCGAATGATGTCAGGCAGGGGATCAGATAGGTACCTACAACCTTGTGGCCAAACCCCACGATTAGCTCGTAAAGACGGATGGTGCTTCACTTCGACGCAGTTAGAACCAATTGGACTGGGTAAGAGGTGCTTGGATCACGCAGTAGGCGATTGGATGTCCGGTCGGGTGAGTAAACCTTGAGTGACGGGTGCGTTGCATATGAGGCCTGAAACGTTGGGGGATACTGCATTGGTGCTGTTTCTGAGCTGGACGGACTACGGACTAATCCGTACCTGATCGCGACTTTTCGAACCGCCGTTTAGTGGAGCAAAGTGCCTTATGTAAGATCTACGTTGCGCTTGCCAGGCGCCGACGCAATGCATGCCCCCTTTATGTTCTGCAGCTTTGGCCACTGGGGAGTCAATCATGATGTTATTGTGCATTTTCCAATGACTTGGCGACACCTCAAGCGCTTGGCCTGCCGCAAGAAGCTGTAGTAATGCTTCTCGACGAAGGCCCAAGTTTGAACCATAGAGCGACGTAATGGATTGTCTTAGCGACGTTGCTATCGCAAGATATCTAGTGTACATCCACAAAGCGAGTGATTTACGATAGGAGAGCGATAGAATCAAAACATCTTTGGCCTGTGCAAATCAGAAACCTCTAGTCGTCGTGTATATACAGGACTACAGGAACAACTGTGTAGGCCAAGCAAACAAAGCAGCAGTACCGTTTC